GTAACAGACACGAGGCAGAGTAGGAAGAAATGGGTCATTCTCATGTTAGCAGGTTGTGATTAGTGGGGTACTGCAAGGGTCAGTACTTGGGGCCTAGCTGTTCACAATGTTTAGCGATGGTTAGGGACTGGAGATCGAAAGTCATGTTGCCAATTTTTGTGGATTTACAAAGCTCATTGGGAATGTGTGCTGTGCTGAAGGTATCAAGTGCTTTCAGGAGGATTTGGGTCAAGCTTAATGAATGGACAAGAAACACGGCAGATGGAATATGATGGGGGAGAAATGACGGGTTGTCCAATTTGGAAGGAGCTGCAGATGTGCAGAGTACATCTCAAATGATGAGGTTGGAAAGCACTGAGGTACAGAGGGACCTAGGAGCCTGAGTCGATGAATCACTGAAGGCTCACGTGTACGTATTAGGAAGGCTTTATCCCAAGGGTTTGAATACAAGAGTCGTGAAGTCTTGCTTCAATTGTCTGGGAGCTTGGTTAGACCACACCTGGAGTGCCGTCTGCAGTCTTGGTTTCCTTATCTGGAAAAGATGATATTCTTGTGAGGGGGGTGGGGCGTGGAATAGACCGCAGAAGCTGGCTTGGTCTCCTTGTAGAGCACAGAAAATTGGGCAGCGGTTTGGGGGGGGTCGGGCGGCGCTGCTTCCGGTGGCCTGAAGGATGTGAACACGGAATGGAAATAGGCCAGCCTGCCCCACCCTTCAGTATTCTGCTTGGAGCACCTTCAATAGATCACTCCCTTAAACTCCACGCTTCAGGTAAAGAAGCCTCCCTCACGCTCTCACTGTGGTCCGCCACTTGAGGTAACATCCGATATGAGCTCTCCCCCACCACTCCACGGCTTCAGGTAATGCCCCCCCCGCGCCTTCTTTGCTTGTTCCAAGCTTCCTGTTAGCTGCGAGAGCGACGTCGATGTCAACAGCTGGTGGTGAGGCCTCCTTGACCTGCAGTAAAGTGGGCACAGCCCATTATAAACCAGCGGAGCGAGTTCCTGTTTACAGGCCAGGGAAGACAGAGCTGTCACCTCCCTCCACCTGTCCTGGTGCACAGGGTACATGTGTAATAGCAGCAGTGGCTCTCCAAACACACATGCCCTTTCCCGCCCAGTAATGCATCCTCTTCTGAACAGGATCTACACTGTCTGTAAAGTTCACGCACAGCCTGAACTTCCCCTCCATTTTTTTCTGTGCAGGCATAGAGCTGTGCAGCATGGAAACAGACCCTTCAGTCCATCTCGTCCATGCCATCCAGATATCCTAAACTAATCCAGTCCCATTTGTCAGCATTTGGCCCATATCCCTCTAAACCCTTCCTATCCATGTCCCCATCCAGGTTTAAATGTTGTAATTGTACCAGCCCCCACCACTTTCTCTGGCAGCTCGTTCCATACATGCACCACCCTCTGCGTGAAAAAGTTGCCCCTCAGGTCCCTTTTAAACCTTTCCCCTCTCACCTTAAGTCTGTGCCCCTCTAGTTTTGCACTCCCCCACCCCTGGGGGAAAAGACCTTGGCTATTCACCCTATCCATGCCCTTCATGATTTTATAAACCTCTATAAGGTTACCTCTGGTGCAGGGTAAACAGCCCCCAGCCAGTTCAGCCTCTCCCTGTAGCTCAAACCCTCCAACATCCTTGTAAATCTTTTCTGAACCCTTTCAAGTTTCACACCATCCTTCCTATAGCAGGGAGACCAGAACTGAATGCAGTATTCCAAAAGTGGCCCTAACCAATGTCCTGTACAGCCGCAACATGACCCTCCCAGCTCCTGTACTCAACGCACTGACCAACAAAGGCAAGCGTACCAAACACCACCTTCACTGCCCTGTCTATCTACGACTCCACTTTCAAGGAACTATGTACCTGTACCTCAAGGTCTCTTTTGTTCAGCAAAACTCTGAAGGACTTTACCATTAAGTGTGTACATCCTGCCCTGATTTGCCTTTCCAAAACGCAACACCTCACGTTTATCTAAATTAAATTCCATCTGCCATTCCTCAGCCCATTGGCCCACAGTCTGCACCCAAGCCCCTTTCTCACACCCACCTCCCTTTACCCAATTCAAACCATTCCCTCCTCTCGTTTTGCTCCCCCCCCCCCCTCTCTCTTGGGCCCCCAGCACTTCTCCCCACCCCCCCCCCCCCCACCCAAATGTTTTTCCCAACCCCTTTGCTGTTCTTCACCCATTCAACACTCTGTAGTCGTTATGATCTCCTGGAATGGAAATGGAACAGGTTGGAGGGGATTAAACAATCTCTAGTTCCTGACAGGGGAACGAGAAAGGGTGGCTGAGACTTCCGTAACTGGGCTCATCACCCAGGGCCCTGAACTGTCACAATTCAGAGAAATTCCCACACCCAGTTTAATGAATTAATGACAGAGTGTGCAGGATTGTAGTTTGAAACCCACTGGGTTCTCTGAAGTCCTTTAGGGGAGTAATTCTCCCCTTGCCTGGGTCTGGTCTGGCCTACATGTGACTCCAGGCCCACAGCAGTGTGGCATTGGTGGTAGTGTCACTGGAGTAGAATCCCGAGGCTCCCAGGCCAGTGCTGTCGGGAAATGGGTCCAGCCCCATGGTAGCAGCAAGAACGCTTCAAGTCGAACGAATAACTCTCCATTGGAGAGGTTGTCCTGACCAGCATCCGATCCTGGATTAAAAACCCATCGGGTTCACTGATGAAGGAAACTGGCCATAACTTACCCATGCTGGCCTCCGTGTGATTCCATACCCACGGTGCTAGACTGATTCCTGGGAATGGCGAGGACTGACATAAGGAGAGAGACCGGATCAGTCAGGACTGTATTCACTGGGAGCTTAGAAGAAACCTATAAAACTCTAACGGGACTAGAGCAGGGTAAATGTGGGAAGGATGTTCCCCGATGACCTGGGGGAGGGAGTCCAGGAACAGGGGGTCTCGGTGTAAGGTGGGACTGAGATGGGGAGAAATGTCTTCACCCAGAGCGCGGGTGAGAATCTCTGTCACAGAAAGTGGTCGGGACCAGAAATGTTTTCGGGAAGGGAGTTCGATAGAGTTCTCGGGCTGAAGGGGTTGAAGGATATGGGGAGAAACTGTTGAGGTGAGCAATCAGTCCTGATCCTATTGAAGAGAGGAGTAGGGCTGAATGCCCTGTTGCTGCTTCTGTTTATTGTGAACCGCTGTGTGTTTGCGTTTGCAAGACTGTGTGGGTGTGCGTGTGTGTGTGGGTGTGGGTGTGCCCCCCCCAACTTCCACGACCTGCTGAATGACAGGCCTCCCTCTGCCCCCCCCACAGGCATCATCGTCATGGCGCTGCTGGGCATGTTCAACGTCCACCGGCACGGGGCCATCAACTCGGCCGCCATTCTGCTCTACGCCCTGACCTGCTGCATCTCGGGCTACATCTCCAGCAACTTCTACCGCAAGATCGGGGGCGAGCGCTGGGTGTGGAACATCGTCCTCACCACCAGCCTCTTCTCGGGTAAGCGCTGGGGAACTTGGGGGAGGGGGAGAGAGACAGGCCCCGAGGGGGCTGGGGGGCAGAGGTGGCGGTCGATGGTGTGTGAGAGAGAGGGAGCGCTCAGCTAACAGAGAAGCAATTAAACTCAGAGGGGCGCACAGAATTTGGGGGAGTTTGTGGGGCTGGAGTGGGTCGTGGATGTGCGGGAACCACGACACAGGGATTTGAAAACCGGGCAGTGGGCAGAGGTGGTGCCTGAATAGGCTGGCACTTATTTCCCTGGAGTGTCGGAGGATGAGGGGTGACCTTATAAAATCATGAGGAGCATGGATAGGGTGAAAAGTCAAGGTCTTTTCCCCCCAGGGTACGGGAGTCCAAAACTAGAGGGGCGTAGGTTTAAGGTGAGAGGGGTAATATTTAAAAGGGATCTGAGGGGTAACTTTTTCACGCAGAGGGTGGTGCACGTATGGAACGAGCTGCCAGAGGAGGTGGGTACAGTTACAACAGTTAAAAGGCGCTTTGGCATGGACAGGAAGGGTTTAGAGGGATATGGGCCAAACGCAGGCAAATGGGGCTAGTTCAAGTGGGAATGCGTGGTTGGCGTGGGTGCGTTGGGCTGAAGGGTGTGTGATGCTGGTGTGGGGGAACGTGGTGGTGACGGAGGATTGTGGAGCATGTTGCAGTAAGGTGAGGCCCGAGGGTGTGAGTGAGCTGACCAAGGCAGTGTGGGGTGTCAGGGGAGTGCGGAGCTGAGCCTAAGATCTGGTCCATTTCACCCACTCCCCTCACACACCTCCCCAGCCCCGTTCTTCCTGACCTGGAGCGTGATCAACACGGTGCACTGGGCCAACGGCTCGACCCACGCCCTGCCGGTCACCACCATCTTGCTGCTGCTCACCGTCTGGCTCCTGGTCGGCTTCCCGCTCACCGTCATCGGCGGCATCTTTGGCAAGAACAGCGCCCCCGGCTTCGACGCCCCGTGCCGCACCAAGAACATCGCCCGGGAGATCCCGCCGCAGCCCTGGTACAAGAGCGTGCTCGTCCACATGACCATCGGCGGATTCCTGCCCTTCAGGTGGGTGGCTGGGCCTTCGGGAAGTCCTCTGGGCCGTGGCGCCCCCGGTGGCGGGAGGGCCGGACTGTAGTGAGGTGCGATTCTCGGCCTGGGGCAACCCCTGGTGCTGTCACCGGCCTAGGTGCCTGGTGGCCCCAGGGCTAAGGGAGGGAGAGAGAGAGAGACATGGGTTCAAATCCTACCGGTGGGACGCAAATACATCTGGGGTTGGAAACTGGCCGCCCTCCTGGTGACCATTGAAAACTGCCATCCATTGTGATTTTATTTTTTTAAAAAAACCCCTCCGTCAGGTTGGGTAATGTGCTTTACGAAAGGAAATCTGCCCTCTATCTATTAGAGCTTTGTTAAACAGGAGTAGGCCATCTGTCCCCCTCGAGCCTGCCCTGCCATTCAATAAGATCGTGGCTGATCTTTCTGGTGGACTCAGCTTACCCCCACCCACGCACCATAACCGTTAATTCCTGTACTGCTCAATAATCTATCCTTGCCTTAAAAACACTCAACGAGGCAGCCTCAACCAGGCAGGGAATTCCACAGATTCCCAACCCTCTGGGTGAAGAAGTTCCTCCTGAACGCAGCCCTAAACCTGCTTTCACGCCCCCCCCGCCCTTATTTTGAGGCTATGCCCCCTCGTTCTACAGTAGGAACAACCTCCCTGCTTCTCTCTTATCTAGTCCCTTCATCATTTTATATCTTTCTATAAGATCTCCCCCATTGTTCTTCTAAATTCCAATGAGCCTGGGTCTCCGCGTGATTCCAGACCCCACAGCGATACGGCCAACTGTTACCTCCACAACCTCCCGAAAGGGGTGATCACTGAGGACAATGAACGCTAGGCTTGGCAGGAAAACCCTCTAATCCTTGTAAAGGTACATATTATTTCTGGAAATTATCTGTAGGAAGTGCTGCTGAAGGTTTTGTGCTCGGAGACCCCATGAGCAATGACTTTTTCAGTTAGGAGCATGAATATGGAGTCTTGGGATTTTGAGGCCCCCCAACACACTCACTCTCTCTCTCTCTCTCTCTCGCACGCACACACACGGGTGGCTCGGTGGTTAGCGCTGGTGCATCACGGCGCCAGGGACCTGGGTCCGATTCCACCCTTGGGCTACTCTCTGTCTGGGGTTTGCACATTCTCCCCCAACTGTGTCTGCATGGGTTTCCTCAAGGCGCTCCGGTCTCCCTCCTCAGTCCAAAGAGGTGCAGGTTAGGGTGGATCGGCTGTGCTAAATTGTCCCATAGTGCCCAGGGATGTGCGGGTTAGCCGTGGGAAATTACCCATAGTGCCCAGGGATGTGCGGGTT